GGGAATCTTTGTGCTTATGGGGTTTCCTTGGTTGGGGCTCCTTGGGGACCTTCCCTCTCGTCCTCCTCTTTCCTCCTACCTGGTTTATTGCTACTCTAATACCTTGTGTGGTTACTTGTGAGAAATTGTGATTGAGTTAAGTTGTTTTTGGCAGCATACCCCCTAGTGCGCCAAGATTCATAACTCAAAAAATACTTCACCTGTACATAGGATTCAAATTGGGAATTGTAGCCACGGACTAGGGCTACAAGATAGCTGAGTTTGGTGAAGTTTTAACAGTGCACCTTTCACCGACGGCTTTCCTGTGAACTCGACGTTTCTGTCCTGAATTCTAAGCCAACGACTTTGAGAAATTTAGGCACCTAATCTTCGTAGACTCCGTCCTTAGTCTATAGCACTTCACGGCCCTCAGAACCTTCACGTAACACCTGGTTACTAGGCCTTGTGTTGAGACTATATATAGCCTCGTGTTGTACCCAGTGAATCATTGACTTCAAACTCTCTTTCGTGAGCTCGATCCTAGATCCTCACACTCAGTAACTCCAAGAACCTGCTTGTTGGATTTTTTATCTCCCCGCTCTCTAGCTCCTCCAACACCACCTCTCGGACCATGCGGTAGAAGGTTTCTGCCTCTTCCGCCAGCATCACTACCATCCTACGGAAGAATTCCGCGGGATCTTGTCTGTCGCGCACCCAGCAGTACCTCACTGTCTCCAGCTGCATTAAGTAATTCTTGAGCGTCGGTCCTACCCCGGGGAAACCTGTGAAGCGCTCTTCTACTTCCAGCTGCGGTTGAGTCGGTGTGGTCCATCTGCGTTCTTGATGCGTGATCGGCAATGCCAATTCTTCGGGCTGCGACTTCATGCGGGTCGCTACCAGTTCTTTTCTTGGGCTAAGTAAATCCTTCCCATCATTTCGGTGCAGCCACTGCTCCTCTTCCCGCTGGCTTGCTTGCTCCATTCCCGGCATCTGCTTTGGCGATACTTTTGCTCTTTTCCTCTCCCAACATGCTCTGGTTTCCTATGCCCAACGAAGCTCGCGGGAAGTTTCTCCGGGATCAGAAGCCGCGTGCCTCCCCTTTTCCATTGATCCTTCTACTTCGCGGGCTCGCTGCTGGGGCGTCCGATAAGCTCCCGTTTCATATGACGATTGCTGTCCGTTTCCTACCCTATTATGATTCGTCGTCGCCACACTTGCTTGAGTCCTCCAGCTCGGCGCGGCCTGGATATCCTCTCGCCAATATCTATGTTCTGACCTTAGGCGGTACCGATCGTTCATTTCTAGTTGCGAAATCCTTGCTCGTTTGTTGAAAGTTCCTAGGCACACTAGGCCTTGTAGGCTGCTCTAGGAGTTAAAAGCTCGGCTTCCTACCCTGCCCCTTGGCTAAGTATCCCGTTGGTTACCGTTGTCTCAACGGTGGTTTTGCTAATCCGCACCTCTCGGCTCTTCCCGCTCGATCCAGTTTGGCTTCCCGCCGTTCTCTCTACTATTTAACTTTCTATTAGCTCCTAGTCATGCATTTATATTTTCTCTTCCCATAATGCGATCAGCATGACAGTAACTGGGGTGCTGCCTCTGGAGGTGCTGTTCTGGGGGTGCTGAGCCTAGAGGTGCTGAGCCTGGGGGTGCTGACACTGGAGGTGCTGCCTCTGGGGGTGCTACACCTGGGGGTGCTGACTCTGAAGCTGGAGGTACTGGAGGTCCTAAGGCTGGAGGTGCTGGAGGCACTGGAGTAAGAGGTACAGGATCAGGAGGTCCTAGAGGTCTTGGAGCTGTTGGTGCTGGAGGTACTGGAGTTGGAGGTGCTGGAGGTTGAGGTACTGGAGATTCTAGTGCAGGGGGTGTTGTGCAGCCACTGCAGCGATGACCATTTTTCTGGCCACAACCGCAGTCGTCACTGCCACTGCCTGGCGCTTCACCTGGTTCTCAGTCTTCCGTCTTCCACTGTCACTACTCCTTCCCTACTATGTCCATCGCGTGGCCGGTCTCAAACACTGTAACAGCCTGACTCCCCATTGCCTGCTCGTTCTCCTTACACTGAGCTGCCGGACTCACCGACCAAGTGTCGTGAGCCTCCTCGTCTGTTCGTCATCTTCGTCATCCTCGTCGTGTTCGTCCTCCACCTGTCCCCGACACGCACACCATAGCACTTCGTCCTTCCTCCGTTCCACGACGTATTGCCCTGCCGTCTCCACCCTCGTCCTCACGACCTGAAGATCATGTCGTCTCTGCTCTTGCTCGTGCTGCTAGTTCGACTGTCACTTGTTATCTGGCCACCCTTGTCACTGACCCCAGTTTTGAGTCTCCTGTTGCGTCTGCCTTAGACACTAAGCTTGTTGACTATGCTGCTGCGTGTTGCCTTGACTACTTCGCGAGTCTTATTTCTGAGTCTGCCTGGAGGGGGGAGGGCTTGCCCTTGACTGTGACGTCCTTGAGGACAGGTAGTTTGAGCTGGAGTGCTTTGCGGCCTGTACCTCATATCGCTGCCATGTTGCTTGCCACTAAGGGAGACCCGGATACACTGGACATCCCGACCCCGCACTCTTACGCAGAGGTGATCACGGGTAAGTACTCCTCCATGGACGCAAAGATGGCATCTTGGAAGTCCACAGGCACCTACGTCGACGCAGTTCCACTCCTAGGGCGAACATAGTCGATGGCATGTAGATTTTCAGGGTGAAGCGGCCGCCGGGTTCTCCGCGTCTCTTCAAGGCGCGTTACGGCGCACGAGGCTTCAGTCAGCGGCAGGGGGTCGAATTTCTTCAAGACCTTCCCCCCAACCCCGAAGATGACAACTCTTCAGGTTTTACCACACGTTGCAGCATAGCGTGACCACAAGCTGCACTCACTCGACTTCTCCACAGCTTTTTTGCAGGGCAGCCTTCACAAGGAGGTCTGGCTGCGCCGCCCACCTAGCTTCGGTAGATAGGTCGTTTCCTGATGGGTACCTAGTCGAGCCTCCGGCGACCAGTCTATGGTCTTCGCCAGGCGCCCCGCGAGTGGCACGACACATTGAGGACGACACTTGTGGCTCTTGGGTTTGCTCCTTCGACTGCTGACCCGTCGCTGTTTCTGCGCACCGACCCTTTGCTGTCGCCGTTCTACATCCTTGTGTACGTCGACGAGTTAGCCTTCGCTATTGCTGACACTGAGGAACTGGCCCTTGTGAAGGTAGAGCGGCTGAAGAGACACACTTGCACCAGCTAGGTGAGTTGCGCAGCTATCTTGGCCTGCAGATCACCCGGGACAGAGCAGTGCGCACCATCTCTCTGACCCAGTCGCGCATGGTGCAGCATGTCCTTCAGCGCTTGCGCTCCAGTTCTCCTCGCCACAGTCTGCTCCTTTGCCTACGAACCATTCGTTCTCAGCTCCACCTCCGGACGAGTCCGTAGAGCCGAATGGTCTGTATCCAAAGCTTGTGGGCTGCCTCATGTACGTGATGACGTACACTCGACCTAACCTCGCGTACCCTCTCAGCCTTATGGCGCGCTATGTTGCGCCTGGGAGACACCGCCCTGAGCACTACCGGATTGCGCAGAGGGTACTGCATTACTTGTGCAGTACATCAGGCATGGGGCTTGTGCTTGGAGGTCGGGGTCGAATTGTGCTCACTAGGCACTCAGATGTTTCTTGGGTCGACGAGTAGGAGACCCAGCGGACGTCAGAGGGTTACACTTTCAGTCTCGGTGCTCGATCTGTCTCCTGGAGGTCCACCAGCTCGTCTTCTGTGCTTAGTTCCAGATATGAGGCCGAGATCTACGCTGGGGCTATGACTGCACAGGATTTACGTTGGCTGACCTACTTGCTGACTGACTTGGGTGAGCGGCCTCGTTCTCCTCCGCTTCTGTACGTCGACAACAAAGCCATGATCGTCTTGAGTCAGGAGCAAAGACTGGAGCACAGAACGAAACGCATTGCTTTTCGTTACTTTCTCGCACGAGAGTTACGGCAGCGTGGTCAACTTCGCCTTGCTGACGTGGCCTCACAGTCCAACACTGCTGATGTCTTCACCAAGGCCCTTGGGTTTGGTGATCATCAGCGTTTCTGCACTGCTTTTGGCTTGTTTCTTGATCTCACCTTGCCCTTGTTGTACACTTCTATATATCTTTATATCCACATGTTTACATTTGCTAGGTTGTGATCATTATACTGCCTTTATCATTCTCATTCCGTTTTTCTAGCTTCGTCAGACTGACCCGAGTTGGCCTACGCTTTGGACTAGCCCGAACCTCACTGCCAGTGTCGCATTAGCTAGCTCGCACACATCGCGATGTTTAGCCATGTATGTTCGTTCATGCCTTCTCTCACATTGTACTGTGTTTGCAATCCTCGTTTTCTCGCTACAGTACATTGCACCCGTAACAAGTACTCTTCCCGAAAGCGGGTGCGATGAATGAAGCGCCTGCCGAATTCCTTGCCAGCAGATCTCAAGGGAGGGATTCAAAAGCCCGAAATTTGTACAGTCTCGAGTTCACAGCAACAGGTGTTCTTGAGTTGAGAGGTTTCCAGGCTCGGCTGTTTACCAATCAGGTTCTCACGTGGCCAGCAATTGTGCGACGAAAGCTTCTCTCTTTGCAACCGTGCATCGCGCTTCTATTCGCCCGGCTGTGTCGCCACGCCATGGCGACGTCGCGAATCACGCGCGACCTGGTGGGTGCTCCGGGGATGGTTTCCGCGTGTCCGCGTGTGAGCGCCTCGCGGGAGAATTTTCACCGGAATAACCCACTTCAACGCTCCTTTCTCAGCCCGCCCCTCTGCTCCTCCCCGCCCTCCCCCCCACCCCACCACCCCCCCCCCCCCCCCGGCCGGCTTCTCTCGACGCTCTGCCGTCTTTCCTCGTTCGCCCTTCCCCGCGCGGCTCTGCTGCCCATCCGCCGCTCTCCGCTTGTATTCCCGCTATCGCCATGCTCTCTCCCGCACTCTGCACTACCCTCTCTCCCTCGCCGCCTCGCACCCGCTCACTTCCCCCGTCCTCTCCCCCCAATCCTCCCCGCGCGCAGATGGCGGTGACGGCGGACAGGGTGCGCGAGGAGGGCGAGGACGCGGGCAAAAGCGGCGACGGGGGAGGGGGGGCGGCAGGAGGGCGGACGTGCCTGGTGCAAGGGTACCTGCTGAAGCGGTCAGAAACGGTGCGAGTCGGTGCTGGGGGGGAGTTGGGATGGGGGGTTGGGAAGGGAGAGATGGCGATGCAAGGACGGAAGGGGTGTGATGGGCGGGTAGTGGGAGGGAGGGCAGGGACGGCGGGTGCATGCATGGCATGGCACTGCTCGTCTCTGCGCATATGCCGCCCATGGGGCCCGCCCCTTGCCCACACCCCGCTTCCCATTTCCGCTCTCCCGCCGCGCCTCCTTTCCCCCGTCTCTCCGCCATTGCATCCCATAGCTGTGGCTGCGAGCTCCTCACCTGTGTGCGCCATGTTGCCCTACCGTGCCACCCTGGTCGCCGTGTCCTCCCTGCACCCCCCCGCAGCTGCACCTGTGGAACCAGCGCTGGTTCGTGCTGGACCCCACCACCGCGCGCATGGAGTACCGGTGAGGGGCGCACACGCGCAAGGGGGCTTGCTGGACTAGAGAGAGACGGGTGGAACGGGTGGGAGCGATTGGGATGGTTGGCAGGGGGTGGTACGCATGAGTGTGGAAGCGCCACACGGATTGTCTGCATTCTCGAGACTCCTGTGCTCTCAGCGTTGCGTCTGCCTCCACCTCCCTCCCGCACACCCCTCGCGCCCTCACAAGCTGCTCGAATCCCACTTGCAATCTACATTCCTCGCAGCCACCCATCCCCTTAGCTACTCTCCCTCCCCCCTCCCCCCGCACCCCCGTCCTCCCCCCCCCCTCTCCTCCACTCTCCCTTCACTATGCCGCGCCCCTGGGCATGTGTGGGGGGCAGCATGCAGCGCAGCGACGTGTACCCACGCGGGCACATCGTGTTCGACGCCGACAGCACCATCACCGTTTCGCCCCTCAACTTCCAGTGCGCTCCCATGCCCCCATGGCCCCATGCCCCCACGCCCCCATGCTTCCATGCCTGAATAACCCAGCAGCTGTAGTCCGCTTATTGCCCGTGTGCTCTGATTCTCCACATGCGTCTCACCTTGCTGCATGCTCGGCTGCCTGCCATCGAACCATAGTAGTGCATGCAAACCCATGGCACCCCACCTCATGCCTCTCATGTGCATGCACTCCCTCCATCCCACATCACTCGTGTGCTGCAGTGGAGCCAAGCAATACGACGGCTGCTGCTTCTGTAAGCCCCCTCCCTCCCTCCCTCCCCCTCCCTCCCTCCCTCCCTCCCTCCCTCCCTCCCTCCCTCCCCTCCCTCCCTCCCTCCCTCCCTCCCTCCCTCCCTCCCTCTCTCCCTCCCTCCCTCCCTCCCTCCCTCCCTCCCTCCCTCCCACCCTCGCTCCCACCCTCCCTCCCTCCCTCCCTCCCTCCCTCCCTCCCTCCCTCCCTCCCTCCCTCCCTCCCTCCCTCCCTCCCTCCCTCCCTCCCTCCCGCCCTCCCTCCCTCCCTCCCTCCCTCCCTCCCTCTCTCCTCCCTTTCCTTCCTGCCTCTCGCCCTCCCGAATGGCCCTTGTCAGTGCATGGGGTGAAATGTACAGCAACGGCTTGCCAGAAAGGCAAAGGCGAGCATGTAAGGCACACACCATGTGACTTACTGCAGTCTAAGCCAGAAGATAGAGTTGACCTCCTCCTCTCCCTCCCTCCCTCCTTCCTTCTTCTTGCTCCCTCTCTCCCTCCCTCTCTTCTGCTTCCCATGCTCTCTCATTCACACCCTCCCTTCCCGTCTGCTTTTCGCGCTCCCTCTCTTCCCACCCTCCGTCCCTTCTTCTTCCTTTCCCCCCTCCTCCCTCGCTCCCACCTCCCTGCGCTACCTGCACGCCCACCGCGTGGTGGAATGTTCCAGGCGGTCAGCCTAGGAACCACAGCATTTAGCCGCTGTGCTCTGCCCTGTCCTGCTGCAAGCAAGCGCGCCATAGACCAACGCCATCACGTGAAAAATGAGAAGATCTCTCTTCCTCTTCCTCTTGCTTGCTCCCCCCTTACTCTCTCGTCCCTGTCCCCCTCCCGGTGCCCCTTGTGTGGTGCGGGGGAGCATGGCAGACGTGGGCACGGCGGGCAAGAAGGAGTACTTCCTGTGCGCGGAGACGCCAGAGGCCGCCAGGGCATGGGTCGTCACCATCAGGTGCCACCCTGCTCTCTGTGCCTGATCCACTCCGTCACGCCACCTCCTCTCTGCGCTGTCTGCGCATGCCTATACGCGTGCCACTACCACCTCATCCCTTGTGTCACCAAGTCAGCCACCTCCGTGCTTTCAATCCCATCCTCTTCCGAGCGTTTTCTTCCATCCTTTCCAGTAAGCACCACAAGGTCCTGAATGGTTCATTTTCCCTGCACGTAGTGTGTGGGTGCAGTCCAGTTCATCTTGTTGCTTTCTCTTTCCTCTCAAAGTCTCCCGTTAAGCCCACTTGCAGTGCCACTGCTTCCTTGTGAGGCTGTCTGCTGCGTCTCTTCATCCCCCCTCCATGCATTACCTTCCCCTTTCCCTCTACTCATGCATCCCACTGCCCTGTGTCATGCCTGCACCTGCCCCATGCATCGCATGTGTGTGGTGGGATGCAGGGCAGCAGCACAAGTGTTGAGGGCGCACCGAGCGGCCGTCAGTCTGCTGGGATCCGCCTCCGGCCCTGCTGTCTCTGGTGCGCTGCCCTCGCCACCCGGCCTCTATGTCACTGCACTCACTCTTTCACCATGCCATAACTCCCACCACCTTGCTTCGCGCATCCCACCTTTTCTTTCAACACTAAATACAAGTGTTACATTTCTCTTCTCTCTTCACCCCTCCTCCCTTTCGTATCCCTCTTGCGCTGAACCTTTGCTTTCTCCCTGCAGGGGCAGTGGCAGCGGCAACAGCAGCAGCAGAGGAGGCGGCGGGGCAGGCGCAGAGGAACGTGGCGGTGGCGAATGAGAGGGCGCTGCAGCACGGCGCTGCCACCGCCTTCTTCTCCCTGGGTGCCCCCTCCCCCGTGCAAGCCGCCGCTCTCACTCCCACCAGCATCGCTTCTGCTGCTGCCGCCACCACCGCTGCTGCTGCTGCTGGCGCTGGCGCTAGTGGGAGTGCGCATGCAGCCATGGGGAATGGGCGTGGGGGTGCTGGCGGGGTGGAGGGCGGTGCTGTAGCACCCTCTGGGGACAGCGTGCACCTGCTCAAGGTGATTGCCCTGCACACTGCACAGATGTGTGCTTGGGAAGGTGCATGTTCATGTGAGGACGGAACCCATGCGTTCCATGCATGCGTGGGGCCCGCTGCACCCGTGTCCCCCTCCTCTAGTTTGCTTCATTGATTCAGTTCTGGCTCTCTTTGCGTCCCCTCCTCGCCCGTCACTGCCCGCCTTCATGACTTGGTCACCACTCTGCACCCACCACGTGTGAGCAGGAGACGCTGCGGGTGAAGGACGAGGAGATCCATGCGCTCGCCCTGGCGCTGCGCCACCGCGACTCCGCCATCGCTGACCTCACCCGCCGCCTCGACGACGCTGCCGCCGCCGCTGATGTCGCGGCGGCAGCAGCGGCGCAGGCAGCAAGGGAGCGGGACGAGGTGCGCGCGGCTGCATGCAAGCTGTGCGACGACCTGGAGGCGCGGTTTGAGCGGTCGGAGCAGCAGCAGGCGGGCAGCAAGGCGGGGCGGGTGGCAGCAGAGCAGGAGGCAGAGCGGGCGCGGGCGCAGGTGGCGCAGCTGCAGGTGGCGCTGGTGGAGGCGAAGGCAAGGGCCGATAGGGAGGAGGCGGGCAGGCGGGCCGCTGAGGGGGAGATGCTGCACTGGAAGGCAGAGGCAGAGAGGCAAGTGCATGGCGGGCAGTGCATGTGAGGGAAGGAGGCTCAGGGGGAGAGGGGTGGTTCGGAGCTGGTGAAACGGATGTGTGACGTGTTGCAGAGCAATACTGTGCATGCATGCTGCTGCATGCAATGACGGTTCATTTAGCAGGTTGACAACAAGCTATGCCACTCTTGGTTGTTCCCCCCGCCACACCTGCTTGTCTTCTCCTTGTGGTGCCCAGGCCCATCTGAGGGGCTCACGATGCCCCCTTGCCACGCGCCACTCACCCCCCTCACACTGTCTGTGCACCGCCTGCCCTGTGTCTCTCACCCTGACAGGTTCGTGACTGCAGGGCTCGCATCACTCACACCTTCGTGTCCATCCACCACCGCTTCTGCCATTGCAGCAGGCACGGCAGCAGGCAGAGAGCCTTTATCTAGTTCCACACCTTCCACTTCCACATCCCTGCCTGCCCCTCCTTTTCATCCAACCACCCTGCCGCCAGCTGATCCTCCTCTCACGTCCCCCATCCCTATGCCCTCGCTCTCGCCATCACCGTCCTTCCTGACACCTGTGCCTCATACTGCGAGTGCATGTGCCGTTCCTGCTGTGGACCCGCACCCTGCCCCTCTCACTGCCCTGCATACTCCACCCACCGTAACAGCTGTACTGCCAGCAGCAGCAGCAGCAGCAGCAGCAGCAGGAGGAGGAGGAGGAGGGGCCTTGTCTAATGCTCCAGTAACAGGTGATGGAAATTCTGATGGTAACACTGCTACACTTGCTGCTGCTCCTGTTGGCGAGGCAAGTGCAGCAGATGCTGCCGCAAAGGCATTCACGCATATGAGCACCACTGATGCTGCACTTAGTGTCGCCTCCACCAAATACTGAAACCTGAGTCACACACCCACTCACCTTTGAAGCAGTGAGTACATCTTCGTACTGCTATCTTAGTCAGTGTGATACCGTATTATTATACCGTATTTACGGAAATTCGCAGCGAACTACATCGTAGGAAGCCCACCAAGTCTTTCGTGTCAAAATACAATATTACTTGTAGGCTATAGTGGGGCACTCCTTATGGGTTACAGCATTTTTAGGGTTAGTACTTGTACCCCAACTCTTGATAATTCAATCATTCTTGCACAGTTATTCTGACATGGTATCAGAGCAGGAAACCTGTAAAATTTTTCAGGGCCCACCGATTGTCTTGCTAAGTTCATGCCTGAAGCGCCCTTGCGCTGTCCGGCCCTCTCGCACAGTGTCACGCTGTCCTGCAGCTACTCGCACTACCTGCCCTAGCGCACTGCCTGCCCTAGCGCGCTGCCCTATCGTCACGTGCGCCTCTGCTGCCCGCGTGCAGCCCCTGCCCTGCGCGCCCCTTCTGCCCGCGAGCAGCTCCTGCCCCAGCGCGCCCCGTCTGCAGGGTTGGGTCTGCAGGGTTCGCGCCCTACTGCCCTGCGCGTCGCGCCCTGCTGCAGCCCGCGTCGCGCTCTGCTGCTCCGCGCGTCGCGCCCTACTGCAGCCCGCATGTCACGCCCTGCTGCCCTGCGCGTCGCGCCCTGCTGCAGCCCGTGCGTCGCGCTCGGCTGCTCCGCGCGTCGCGCCCTACGGCAGCCTGCGCGTCGGGCTCTGCTGCAGCCCGCGCGTCGCGCCCTGCTGCCCTGCACAGTGCGCGCCCTGCTGCCCGCGCCGCCCAGGCCGAGCCGCGCCGCCCAGCCCGAGCCACCCTGCCCAACCCGATCCGCCCTACTGCTCGTGCGACTGCTGCTCGGGGTGGAGGTGCTGCTGGGAGTGCTGGAGGTGCTGCCGCCTAGCCTCACCGAACCGCTCTGCTGCTACTACTGCTGCTGCTGCTGCTGCTCGTGCTACTGCTGCTACTGGTGGAGATGCTACTGGGAGTGCTGGAGGTACTGCTGGTGCTCGAGGTGCTGGAGGTGCGACTGGGAGTGGTGGAGGTGCTGCTGGTGCCGGAGGTGCTGGACCTACTACTGACCGTCACTGCCTGTCATGGCCACTATCACGGCAGTTGCAGCGGCTAGGGGTGGACAGCGGCGATCACTGCCTCTCCCGGATGACCCCACCCTTCAGCAGCTTCGTGAGTGGGTTATGCAACGAGCCCGTCCAGGTGGTGGAGGCTTTGGTTTTCTGCATACTGCACGAAGGCGGCAGCGGAGTCAGCAGGAGACATTCTCCTCGCAGCTGCTTAATGAGTTGGTTTCTCAGCGATGTGTCACTGGTTTTGTAGAGGCTGCTGCTCTAGGTGCTAGTGAGTTTGCTGCGCCACTCGGTACTGGTGAGTCTGCTGCAGCTTTCAGTGCTCGTGCGTCTACCGCCACAGCACCTGCCTCAGCTGAGGCCTTGCACACTTTCACACTTTACTCAGGCGCGTCACGTTGCTTCTTTCGTGACTGCACCACACTCACACCTCTTCCTGCACCGGTACCAGTCTCACTGGCTGATCCCACTGAGGGCCGGGAAGTCGCACAAGCCTCCACTGTCCTCCCGTGTCCAGCAGTCCCCTCCGGTTCTCTGTCAGGTCTCCACCTCCCCACGTTCTCTACGAACTTGGTGAGCAACGCTGCCATTTAGGATATTTGGGTTGATACCTTTATTCCTAGAGGGCAGCGTGTGGCGATCTGTACGTGCTCTCGGACTGGCCGTCGCCTTGCTACGTTCACTCGACGGCCTGGGTCTAGTCTGTACACACTGACCACTGCGTCTGCACAGGTGGCTGAGTCAGGTCAGGTGGCTGCGTCGAGTCAGGTGTCTGCGTCCGGTCACCTTGCAGCGTCTTGCTCGTGTCGGGGTACTCTCCCACCAGACTCACCTCTGGCACCACCACCTCGGTCACCCCTCCGTGCCGCGTCTCCGCAGCATGCACTCCCGTCTCCTTGTCTCTGCGCTTCCCAGGTCCCCGCCCTCCCTCCCACGCTTGGGGCGAGACAACAAGGCGGCGTCGTGGAGCCGACTGTCTCGCTGGCGCCAGAGGCCGGTGAGGACTTCCACGCGGTGGTAGCAGCTGTGCAGGCAAACCCGGCGGTGGTCCTGCTCGACATCGGATGCTCGCACCACCTGATGGGGACGAAGGAGGCCTTCGTAGACTTGGGGCCGAGCGGCGATGTGAAGCACGTGCGCGGCTTCAATGGGGCGCTTCAGGACGTTCAGGGCCGTGGCACTGTCGCTCTGCAAGGAGAGGCCGGGAAGCAGGTGCTCATCCCCGACGTCCTCTACGTCCCGGGCGTGCGTGCCAACCTGCTGTCGTCCGGCCAGCTGAAGGAGCACGGCGTGAAGCTGCAAGAGGACGGAGACGGAATGCTGCTCGTCTCGGCGGCTGGGGAGGTGCTCGGCCGGGCAACGTACTCCGGGAGGGTCCTCTGCACCGACCTGCGTCCCTGCCCCACGAGGTCGACGTCGCCCACGCCGGAGGTTGTGGCCCTGCGGGCGATCGTCTCGAAGACGAAGTCGACGCCGGACCGGATGCACGCGAGACTTGCGCACGTCGGCATGGACTCTATCAGGAGCTCGGCGAAGAACGAGGTCGCCATTGGGCTGGACCTCAAGTCGGCGACGGGCTCCGACTCACTCTGTGTCTCGTGCGTCGGCGGGAAGCTGGCGCGGCACACCTTCCCCGACCAAGGCTCCGACGCCGACGACGTGCTGGCCGTCGTGCACATCGACTTGTGCGGGCCGTTCCGTGTGGCTGCCAAGGACGGCAGCTTGTACTTCCTGCTGCTGAAGGACCGCAAGACCCGCTTTGTGTGGGTGAAGCCGGTCGCCAGGAAGTCGGATGTGCTGCTGGAGTTCCAGAAGTGGCTGGTGTTGGTGGAGAGGCAGACGAAGAAGTCGGTGCTGATGTTGCGCTCGGACCGAGGAGGGGAGTTCCTCGGGACGCGGTTCACCGACTTCGTGGACGGCAAGGGGATCGTCCACGACCTGACCTGCCCGTACACCCCGCAGCAGAACGGCATGGCAGAGCGGGAGATGAGGATGGTGGTGAAGTCGGTGCGAACGATGCTGCTACACATGGGCGTGCAGCACCACTGGTGGCACCTCGCTCTGCGGCAGGCCGTCTGGGTCCGCAACTGCCTCCAGAGGTCGACGCTGCTATCGGGGACGACGTCGTACCAGCTGCTCACCGGGCAGAACCCCGACTTGTCGATGGCGAGGGTGTGGGGCTGCATGGCGCAGTTCCTTGTCCCTGAACAGCAGCGTGGTGGGAAGCTGAAGCCGAAGGCCAGGTGGGGCCTTCACCTTGGCGTGTCGGGGGAGAGCAAGGGCGCGGAGCTCCTCGACATCGACGCCAACCGGGTGGTCACCATGTCGGACGTGGTGTTCTACGATGACATGTCGCTTGAGGTGTGGAAGTCGGAGCACTGGCCGGTGTCCGGTCGGACGCCGACCACCCCACCGACCGATACCTCGACGGCGACGCTACCTCTGCTCGCCGAGGTCGGTGAGCTTGATGCTGCGGACACCGAGGTCGTCCACCCTCCTTCCCCTTACCCTCCGACCCCTGCCCCTCCCCTCGTGGCCGAACTGCACGGGCTGACTCCTATGTCGGCCTCCGGCGATGAGGGGAGTAGTGGGACGTCGCCTTCGGCGCTGGCCAAGGGCATCGCCGGTGGCCGACGTGACGAGCGGCAAGTCGACATGGGATTGAAGTCGATATCAATAGAGGAGGAGCAGGTCGAGGAGAAGCAGCCGAAAGGGGAGCAAGCAGCAGTGACGCCGACCACGGAGCAGTCGGCAACCAGGCAGTCGGCAGGGGAGCCGACCACAGGGTAAAGGTCGGCCAGGATGTCGACCGAGGTGCAGCAGGACGACGAGGGCAGCGAAGACGGTGACGAAGACAGCCAACATGGGGACGTGCCCCTCCTTCGTCACCGTCTTCGAAGCTGGTCGAGCGCCCGCCGGGAGTGAACGTGATGAAGAACCAGTGGGTGTGAACGTGAAGGGATTCACCCAGGTGTACGGCGCCGACTACGACGAGACGTTCGCGCCGGTGGGCAGCTACGTCACGCTGAGGATCTTTCTCTGCATCGTCGCCGTGCTCAACCTCAACCTGATGCAGCTCGACATGAAGAACGCCTTCTTGCAGAGCAAGCTCGACCGGGTGCTCTACATGACTCAGCCGGACTACTTCAACGATGGAACCGGCCGGGTCTGCAAGCTGCTGAAGAGCCTGTACGGGCTGAAGCAGTCACCGCTGCTGTGGTACTTGGTGCTCAACGACGTGCTGGTTGACGCCGGGTGGAAGAAGAGCCAGGTCGACGAGGCTCTCTACTTCAAGGTCGGCAAGGACGGAGTGGCCTGCTGGGTGCTGGTCTACGTCGACGACCTGCTCGCCGCCAGCAGCAGCACCGAGATGCTGAAGGAGTTGAAGGAGCTGCTGGAGTCCGCCTTCGAGCTGCGTGAGATCTCGCCGGTGCAGAAGTACCTTGGGCTGGAGATCGTCCGCGACAGGTCGGCGGGGAAGGTGTGGCTGCACCAGCAGGGCTACGCCGACAAGCTGCGTAGGCGCTTCATCGACGAGGAGCAGACCGGGCGCACCCCAAAGACGCCGGTCTCGGTCGACGCCTACGGCAAGCTCACCTTCGACGACGAGGAGGCACAGGAGCGACAGGAGGAGGACTACCGGCAGAAGGTCTGCTCGCTGCAATTCGCGGCGATGACGACGAGGCCGGACATCGCCTTCGCCTGCAGCATGCTGGGGAGCGGCCTCACGGTGATGAGCGACCAGCACTGGCGCGAGGTCGACCGCTGCCTTGCTACCTCGCCAACACGCGTGACACCGCCCTGGAGTTCGGTGGTGGACTTGAGTCGCTGGAGCTGGTCGGCTACGTTGACGCCGACGATGCCGGTGACAAGCAGAACAGGACGAGCACGGGCGGCTACGTGTTCGTCTACGGAGGGGCCGCAGTCTCCTGGTCGAGCCAGCGCATCAAGTGCGCGACGTTGTCGTCGACCGAGTCGGAGTACGTGGCAGCCACCGAAGCCGGCAAGGAGGGACGCCGACTTCGTTTTCTCCTTGCAGAGTTCCGGCAGCTGGATGCCGGGAAGCCGACCGTCCTCCGGGTGGACAACAAGTCGGCCATCACAGTCGCCGAAGGCATGGGGTTGACGGGCAACCTCAAGCACATGGAGCGGCGACAGGCTTGGCTGCAGCACATGGTGAAGCGCGGGAAGTTTTTGCTGAAGTACATCCCGACCGCTGAGCAGCCGGCCGACTTCCTGACGAAGGCGCTGCACTATCCGTCCTTCAACCGGTGCTCCGTCGCCATCGGCCAGGTTGCCGACGTGGGCGACGAAGTTGACGACGTGCAGTAGTAGGTGCCATGCCCTTTTGCATGGCTGGTGCGGTGGACGACGTGCTGTGAGTTGGGTGCACATCGACGAGCTATTCTCCGAGGAGTACAGCCGTGTGGGCTGGGGGGCCCAAGCGTGAATGCGGCAAGGGAGTGTCAACGGGAGTTGTGTGTTGGCCCCGTCCTCGCTTGGGCGGAGCCGACTTCGTGGTCGGGTGTGAGGGGAGCAGCCGACCTGCAGCAGTGGGCGAGCTGGTTGACGAGGAGGTCGACCTGCACGGGAGCCAATGTATGGGCGCCGACTTTGGGGTGGCGCCAACTTCAGGGAGGTCGACCTGGGAAGTCGACCTGCGGAGGACGTCAACTTGGTGACGTCAACTTGGGGCAGCCGACTTCGGTGGTCGGCTGACGGACTGCTGGTCAACCTTGTGGTTGGTCGACCAGGCCTGCTGGTCGACCTGCTGGTGGTCGACCTGACTCGGTGGTCGAGGAAGGAGGGGCCGACGTCGACCTCGACTCAGGACGCCGAGCAGTTGGGCGTCGAGTAGCTGGGCGTCAACTTTGTGACACCGACTTTGGGAAGCCAACTTGGGTGGTCGGCTGACAACTGTGCTGGTCGACGTGGAGCTGGTCGACTAGGAGTGACGTCGACCTGGTGGGGTCGACTTGGGAGGTCGACGGGCACGTACGGGAGCAGCTGGTCGACGTGGTTGCCCGGTCGACCAGGTTATCTGGGTGACGAGGTTCTGCGGAGGAGTGCGACGGTTGCCCAGGCGAAGTTGACGAGCCCGACCTCGGTGGTGGTATCCCGAGGTCGACGTGGCTGATCAGGGGGAGTCATCAGCGCCAGGTTGGCTTGGTGTGTGCGCTGTGCAGGTGACGAGACTCTGCACGCCAATCATCTGCGAGCACCTGCGAAGCTGGTGCGATGCTGTTCTGCGGGAGCAACGCTAGCACGCCGTAAACCTGCAGCGTTCGCACGCCGTCGACTTTGCACTGCTGGAGCGCGGTCGACCAAGTCGTGCTGGAACGCGGTCGACCAAGTCGTGCTGGAACGCGGTCGACCGTGCTGCGCTGGCAGTCGACCGACCTGAATGCTAGCTCTGATGTAGTCTTGCTATGCCAACTTCATTGTACCATTGTTGTCAACTTTCTCTAGTGAAACTCTTGCCAATTCACCCTGTGAACTAGCAAGCTGTGTGTGCACTAGGAAAACGACTAAGGACCAACGAACGCAGAGATCACACGAGCACCCGTGCCTAGCCCGTAGTCTAGCTCCTGTTGTAGTAGTGATCTCTGCACTAAAAACTGAACACCAGCAGATGCCGTTGATCCAAGGTAGCGCACCAAGCGCTTTGCCACCTCCAACTGCTCCTCAGTGAGCCGCTGCACAACTCTGGCCAGCTGCCCCACTCCGAATGAAGCATCAGGTCGCGTATGCACTGCAGCATACATCACACTCCCAATGAGTGATTGGTACTCGTTCTGCTGCTCATCCTCGAGTACATCATCCTCCTCAGCTGCCTTCTTTAGTTTGAAGCCCGCAGGGAACGGTGTCATCACAGTACGACCACCAGTCACACCATACCGCTCCATGATACCAGAGATGTAGTGTCACTAATGGACCTTCAGCCACCTCCTCTCAACATCCCTCTCAATCTGCAGCCCCAAGTAGTAGTGGACATCCCCCAGCATCTTGCACTTGAAGTTGTCCATCAGCAGCTTCTGTGTCCTCTCAATCTGCTCCATGGAAGGTGAGAACAGCAGTATGTCATCGACATACACCAGCAGCAAAAGCAACTGCTCCCCCTCTCCAAGCAGAAACAAGCAGTGATTCGCCTGGGACGTCTTGAAGCCTCCACCCAGCAGCACCTCCTCCCGCTTCTCGTACCAACACCTAGGCGCTTGCTTAAGGCCATAGATGGCCTTCTTAAGCTTGCACACCCGGCTGGTCCCATCCTCATAGCCGTCGGGCTGCGCCATGTAGACATCCTCCAGCAGCACTCCATTGAGGAACGCAGTGGTGATATCCATCTGCTTCACGTGCCATCCCTTCACAGCTGCGCTAGCCATCAAAGTCCTCAGTGTCACTGGCTTAGCAACGGGAGTGAAGATCTCCCCAAAGTCGACCTTCTCTTTCTGTTGAAACCCCTTGGCGACCAAACGGCTCTTGAACCGCTCCAACGCACCATCAGCACCACTCTTCACCTTGAAGACCCACTTGCTGCTGATCGGCCGTCGCCCCTCGGGTAACTCAACAAGCTCCCAAGTCCCATTCTCAATGAGACTGTTGAACTCCGCATCCATGGCAGCCTTCCACTCCTCCTTCTGGGGTCCACTCAGTGCCTCCTACAATGTGGCTGGTTCTCCAGGCAAGGGTGTGAAGAAAAAGAACGCCATCTCCTCATCCTCTCCCTCATCCGCCTGAACCGCCATGGCACCTTGCTTGGGTCCTCCCAAACGGCTATACTTCAGCCTTTTTTTTTTTTTTTTTTTTAATATGTTAAATATACACCGATGATGCTAGTGCACACAAACATATATCAGTCGTAACTGAGCGTGAGAGGCCCGGCAGCACGCCTGCCTCAAGGGATGACTCTAAGGGGGATGTAGTGCCCCTCGCGCAAGATTCCATAGCGCGCCAAAGTGACGGGACCATTTCTAGCCTTTGCCTTCCAGAGTCCGGATACGTCCAAGGAGCCGACACTCCTGATCTGCCAGCGCGTACGTCTTCCCGCCCTGTTTCAAATTGCCCTTCATGCCCAGCTTTTTCCGTGTTGCCCGAGTATACACCCGCACATGTAGCTCGAAAGCTGCTTCAATCCTCCTCAGTACCCGTCTGGCTCGAAATCTCTTGCCTCGAAACACGCAATCGCACCGCTCTGCCCAAATCTGGTGTATTGCAATTGCCGAGAGAGACGCTTCCGGAAAAGCTGAGGTGGAAGCGGTATTGCCAAACAGTATGTCACCCAAGCTGTCAACTTGCCTTGTCGGATTCAGCATGCGCAGAGCCTTCCGAACTGCCCCCACCACCGTCTGGATTCTTGGACAGGTGTAGAGGCAGTGTTTAAGGGTCTCAAACTCCCCGCAGTGCGGGCAGATCGGCTTTCCACTCAAGAAAGAAAGCCTTTCTCCCACTTGGAGGTTGAGACTGTAGATTCTCAGCAGCACATCACGCGGTCGGTTCGGTGTCACCAGCGAGTCCCGAATTTTCACAACCCTTTTCCAGTCGATAACTCCTGCCCATCTGCCAGCCCAGAGCTCCCGTTTTGCTGATTGATGTTTCGGCTGTTGCCAGTTCCCTTTCAGCTCCTTCAGCGATGGTAGCCCCCCGCCGCTGAAAGCCGCTGTGCGCTGGAGCGGAGTGCGGAGCTGGGTGGCAGGTGCGCCAGATTGCTCGGCTGAGAGGAGAAGCAGCTTCCAGCTCTGCGGTGCTGCTTCCCACGCCCGTAGAGCAAGTTTCTCCTGCTTTGAGCCACCGAGCTCCCTCACTAGGGTTTTATCATCCTTTACATGCCAACTCCCGTCACCGCCCGCAGTCAGCAGGTCTCCCAGACGCACCTCCCACAATTTCTCCGCGGCTTTCTGGCTGCCCACCGGGGTCGTGCCTTTCATCAGGATATGGCGATTGTAAACGATCCTTTCCCTCGCCACTTCCTCCCGTGATAAGTCAAGCGGCGTGCTGGCGAGCGGCGACTGCATGAAGTTAGCGCACGCAAGCTTCCACCGCTCGCTTTTCCCGCGCCAGGATTTGAGCAGCTTCACGTGAGCGACGAAGGTATCCATTCCCAGCGGCAAGTCCGCAGCCTGGAGCATGATGTCGCGTTTCAGCGCGTTCGTCTCGGTGAGCAGCAGCCCGATCTTTCTGGCGATTAGGCAGGTAAGTGCGATTTCCGGGTCCTTCACACCGACGCCCCCCTCTTCTCTGGCCATGTACAGCAGCTCTCTACTCCACAGTATGAATTCCTTGTCGGTAGAGGCCCGATTTCCCGACATGAAGTTGTGCGTCAGTTTCAGAATCCTCCCCCAAATATCCACCGGTGGCGGGTACACCTGAGCCTGAAAGAAGATTATCGGTGAGATGTAGCAGTTTATCACCGCAGCACGCGCGCCGGTTGTGAGGTGCTGCGCCTCCCACTGCGACAATTTCCGCTTAATCTGTGCGAAAGCCTTCTCCCATGTGGGATTGCAGCTTCCGGCAGGAGTCACCCACACTCCCAGTAGCCTTTCTGCCTCATCAGCCTTCGCCCATTTGAAGCCACCGGTCTTCCAGGGCTGCTTGCCCAGATTCGACCCCAGCGGTAAGACAACTGACTTCTCCTTGTTAGTAGCGAGGCCTGTTTCCCTTGCGAACTCCTCTAACAACTTCTCTGCTGCTGCAATCTGCTCCTCCCCCTCCAGGATAAGAGTTGTGTCGTCGGCATAACCAAGGTACGCCAGCCGCCGATCACCCTCGGAAATGCCTATCCTTCGGTTCGCCGCTTCCTGCGCCAGCGGTTCCACCGCGCACAAAA